GCGCTCGGAGCAGCCCGGCCTCTCGAGAAGCAGATCCTCCGCCGCAAGAAGCTCTCGAAGAAAGCCAAGGTGAAGTACGCCCACTCGTTCTCAACTTCCTCGCTGACCTACAACCACCACGTCTGGGGCGATCAGACTCAGAAGGACCTCGAGCACATAGCCGCCGAGTAAATGGGACCATACCGCGTGGCAGCCTCGATGCCCAAGACCAACTCGCCCGATCAGCACATCGCCGACGCCGGCGCGGTCGCCAGGACGGGCGCCCCCGACTTCAGCACCCGCCAGACGGCAGCGCGCTTACGATACCTACCACGACTGCTGAACCACGCCCCCGCCGTGCTACTTCAGCTTCTCGACGGCGAGCGTCGACGAAAGGGCGCCTGGGGCCGCCAGCTCGAGAAAGACTTCGACTTCCTCCGAAAGTACCTCCCGCGAGAAAGGTGGCCCAACCGAACCCAGTACGACTGCGACGTCATCAGCTGGGCCCGACAGGAGCCCAAGCTCTTCACAAACGCGGCCAAGGCGGCGGTGAAGGCCTACATACACCACGCGCGCGACCAGGCTCATAACGCCAAGCTCCAGAAGGACATTCAGATGCTCCCAGCAATGGCCCCCGCAGACGAGTTCGACCAACGCGACGACGCCAACAACCAGAAGTACGTCTGCTACGTCTGCGGCCGAGTCGCCACCAGGCAAGGCATGGCTGTCCACATGGGCAGGGATCATCCCGGCCACACGGACCCGCGCCGCTGGGCTACAGGCACTGCGTGCCGCTGCTGCCAGACCGAGCACCACACGTTCCCGAGGCTCATCAAGCACCTCTCGGTGGCCCACCGCTGCCGCAAATCCTGGCACGCCTGGCGCCGCCAGACGATGGGGCCTCTGACAGAGCAGCAGATCGCCGCGAATTTCAACGCCATCGTCGAGGCCACGACCGCCAACAAGAAGCAAGGACGCCACTCGACCTTCAGCGACAAGCCAACCCACCAGTGCGATGTCACGCCGCTGCCGCTCCTGGAGACGTCACTCACGGCACCGAAAGTATTCGCCAGACTCGAGCCCTCGCCAAGCAGGCCTCCCGCGAGCACGCCTGCTGGACCAGCCGAGCGCCAAGAGGTCGTCTTCATCGCCGATCGCCCTCGACAGGCCGCCGACCTCCAGCAGATTATGGCCATCAGCGGGATCACTTGCATCAGCGGCCTGGCGGCCTGGACTACAGCTCGATCTCAACCCACAGCGATGGCCAGTCTTCAGAACCACTACTAGAACTTCGGCGAGCACAACAAAAGATCCTACACGGCGAGATCGCGGCCATCTACGCAGAACTCCCTCGACGGAGCCGGCGCCGACACGACACCAGCGACGATCTGGTCAACAGGGCCAGCAGGCGGCGCATCCCAGACGTTCCCTGGGGACTGCCAGAAACGTCCGAGACTATCGCCGACGAGATCTTCGCCGCCAACAATGCCACCAGAGAGGTCCTGCGGATGCTCTTCGCAGCGACCACCGCCCGCGTCCCCTTCGTCGCCGCCATCGCGGCCGAGTCGACCTGCAGGCAGACTCCCGAATACCAGCGCGTCGCCAAGCAGACCACGGTCAACGAGACCTCGGCATATCACTACGACCTCGGCGCCACGCAGATCCTCGACAACGGCACCCGCGACGACCTGCGCAACAGATTGACCGCGGCAAACGCTGACGAGATCGATTTTGCCATCGCCGACATGCTCGACTGCAACATTGTGGCTAGATGGGGTCTCAGAACCGCAAGCGCAGCGCCGACCAGCCAGAACCTGAACACCTTCGACGCGTACTATGTTGAACGCGAGGACGGCCCAGGGCAATCCCCAGTCGGCCAAGGCATAGGAATCTGCCCAGCTAGCCATGTCTCGACGGACGCAACAAGCCACCTCTCAGGACGAAGCGCCACCTCCAGCCGAGAGGGTGGTCGCGACGACGAGTCTCCGACGGCGCCAGGACGCAAGTCCTGAGGAAGCCCCGAGTGCGTGGGAACACCTCAGGCAGCGTTGCCATGTTTTGCAGGAGGCGTTAGGACGCAAGTCCTGGGGATGACCCGAATGCGAGGGAACACCCCAGGCACAAGCCGCCAAGTTCTGCAGCACAGAAGCAGGCAGCGACCGTACACGCACAAGTTTAGCGGTCACCAGCAATCCAGACAACAGACGACCTCAACGACCGCCAAGCACCATCGACCAACCATCACCAGCAACCCAAAGACAGCCCCACCACACAACTCCACAACTCCACGCTGCTTTGGTGAGGCAAGGATCAAACTTCGAGGCGGGCTCGAAGGGTGGGGGGGCAGGACGAGTACTGCCCGCGCCTACCAGGGGGGATGGTGAGGGGCAGGGGGAAGGGGTAGGACGGCCACTACCCGCGCCCCCGCGGTCCGCCCTAGCTCGCCACCCCCAGCATCCCCATGGCGGAGACGGAGCTACCCGAGCGCCCGAGGGGCGAAGCAAGAGCAGCAGAGACACCCCTCAACAACGAGTCCGACGACCAACCGACCACCCACTGCAGAACTACCACCCCGTCAACCACGACCATCACCTCGCCATGGACCGCCCGCTGAAAAAGGAGGACAGGAGCAGGGTCCTCAACAGCGCGGCACGATGAAATCCTGATGGGGTCCGCTGAAAGGAGGACAGGAGCAGGGTCCTCAACAGCGTGGCAGGACGAAAACGCATGGAGGTCGCTGAAAAGGAGGACAGGAGCAAGGTCCTCAGCAGCGGCCCCTGGCGCTGACGCCCGAGAAAGGAGGACAGGAGCAGGGTCCTCAGCTGCGCGGCCAAGCACCGACTCCCACCGACCCCGCCAAGAAGAAGACGCGGCGCATCGTGCGACGCGGCGAGGCCGCCCCCAGCCCTCGGGCCGAAGGGGGGAGCGGCCCGTACCCCGTGTAACATACGGGGGCCGCCAGCTCTGCCGAGCTCGAAGGCGGCTAGAGAAGGTCGGACGCCCCTCAGCTCGCGAGCAAAGGAGGGGCGTCCGTCGCAAAGGAGTCCGTGGAGGAGCAGTTCGACGCCCACCTGAAGGCGCTGGACTGACGGGCTACAGCGCCCCGCTGCGGGGCGCTGCGGAGCCCTTATTGAAAGGGTCTTGAAAGGCGGAGGCGGAGGAGGAGGGGGAGGCGGAGGAGGACGCGGACGGGTCGGTCCGTGTCCGTCGTCGGTCCCTCGTCGCTGCCGTCGATCGGTCCGTCGTGGGTCCGTCGCCGACGGTCCGTCGTCGACGGTCCATCGTCGTCGTCGACGCCGTCGTCGGTTCCTCTGGGTTTTCAAAGGGTTCCTGACTCTTCTCGCCCTTTCTGGGCCTTCTGGGCTCTTCCACGGCTGGATCCCTCTCGAAATACTTGCCAGAAGCACGCCAGGATAGGCGCTCGTCGTCGTCGTCGTCGTCGTCGTCGTCGTTGTCGTGATAGTCGTCCCCACCGTTGTCGACGCCGTCGTCGTCCATCAGGGTCCAAAGTCTCTGGACGTGTTTGGTTTCTCTTCAGCCTCCCGAGCCCTCCAGAAGCCCCTTCTAGTGGCCATCGAGGACCTCTGAAAATCTCCAAAGACCTCGGATGGCGTGAGACCTCGGGTGACCTGCAGAGACCTTCGGAGCCGCCGTCGCAGCGGAGGGGGGGGGGGGGCACGGAGCTGCGCGTTGCGTCGGAGGCCCCTGGCGCGGCGGACGCCGTCGGCAATGAATGAGCCGCCGCTGGGCACGGCAGGCGAGAGGTGTCGCGATGCCGTTTCCGCCTTGCCACTCCGGGCGCCTCGAGATTCCCCGGAATGTGATTATCTTGTTCCTCCTCCACCTCCTCCACCTTCTCCTCCACCTCCTCCTCCTTCTCGTCTTCCTCCTGTTCTGCTGCTGGGAGGGTGAGGAACGCCCTTCCCTGCCCTGCGTGCCTCGACTCGGGTGGTGTCCTTCCTCGGTCCGCCCGCTGCGTCCCCTCGTCGGATGGGCCGATTTTCTCCACCACCACTACCACAGGTGGAGGAGGAGGAGAAGGAGGGGGAGGAACAGGAAGAGGAGGAGGAGGAGGAGCAGGAGGAGACGGAAGCGGAAGAGGGGGATGCCGAGGAGGAGGAGAAGGAGAAAGAGAGAGAGGAGGACCTCCCCATCCTCGTCCACACATGGCAGTGGTGGTCGAAAAGTGGCCCATCATATCCTCCCCGCCTCGGTCCCCCCTGCTACCCTCCTAGAATGATCGTTCAGCGGCCAGCGAGCCGTTTTCGAGATCGCCTCCCACCCTATCGGGTGAAAGGGCAAGGCTTCGACCCACGAAGATGACACACACACACACATACACATACACACACAGCGCTTCAGCGTCGGTTGTCAGGAGGAGGGGGGCAGAAGACTCTTGCCGACAACACAGTGCACTGGCGAGAAATATCCGCTCGACAATCCACTGCACTGACAAGAGGAGCCGGCCCATGCCATGCAGGGGACCGGCGTTCTGCGCGCTGGACGACTTTAAAAGATTAGCATGGCCCTTGCCACGCGGTCTCCGTAACAGCATGACAGTGGGAAATGGGGGGCGCCGAAGAGGGGAGCCAGAAAGAGAGGGGTTAGCGCATCATGCATGGCCCAAGGCATTGCGAGGATAAGAGGGGATCAGGGGGCGTGTTGAAAGCAGGAAAGAGGGACATGAAATCTAGAAGATATCCTGGCCCCGGCCAGAATACCCCACACACACACACACACACACACACACACACACACACACATACACACACCACACAGCGAGTGGAATACTGCCGCTAGTGAGATGCATGTGGAGGCATCGGGGGCGCCACGACACAGGTGGCAGGGCGTGTAACCAACGGGCCCCGTTTGAGAACGACGCAAGAATGCAATGCTAGCAACCCCGCCCCCCGCCGCGCCCCTTACCCCTTACCCCGTCCATCTATACGTTGAAAACCACAGGGTGTCCCCCTAGTCTTCCAGTGCTCAGCATTGCAACAGCTCATGCGTACGGAATAGAAGGGAGCGCTCCAGCCTTGCATGTTTACCGAGAGCGAGCGTTCCAGCAGTTCACGGCGCGCGCTGCAGCACTGCACTTTACTGTGCACGAGCTGTCCAGCAGCCCACGGCGTGCGAGCCAGCACTGACTGCATCGTTTTACGAAGCGCGAGTGGTCCAGCAGCCAACGGCATTCGCTCTAGCACTGCAGTTCTACCGAGCACGAGTGCTCCAGCAACCCAAGGTGAACGCTGCAGCTGTATCCTTCCCGAGCGCACGAACTCCGCTGTTGCGCAGATTGAACAGCAGCTGCCGCCCGGCAGGGCAGCCAGAGCGAGCCGCGCCGAAACCTCGACCACGACTGACGCAGACGAATCCGCCCAATGAAGAGTCCACCTAGCAAAAAAGAACACCCTTACTGTGTAGTCATCACCCCTATCGTGGACGCCCCCCAATAAAGAAACAGACTAGGACGACGAAGTTCAAACAATTGCCGCAACATATCGGGCAGGAGCTATTAGAAGAACAAGAGCCGACACGGGCATGAGCTCTCGGAGGTCCGCGCGGACTGCACGGGTCGGGTCCTGGCGGCCGCAGCGAAGGGTTGACGCTGCAACGGGGGCTCCAGCGCCGACCCCAGGAAATCCGTGCGGGCCTCCGAAAGTGTATGCTTTGTCTAGTTGTTTCCTCGACGGGACCTACAGTCAAAACCAGCCACACGGACAGAGTTTAGGGAGGCCGGGCGCCTGGAGCGCGCCACGAAGCCAGGATGACTTTGAACCGAAGGAGCAGAAAGCGCGCAGGGGAATCCCATCATCGAGGCATGCAGGGGTGCCTTGCTTCAGCGGCTCACCATCACTTGCCAGTTTTGACAGTAGGGCAGGGGCCAGGGGCAGCATGCACGGTGCACCTCACACCTTCGGGTCCGCGATGGCGTAGCCTGCCTGAGCAGCAGCCGTGAGCGCGGCAATGATGAAATACGGGAGGCCAGGCATGTTCCGCCCGTTCGACGTAGCCCAGGCAAAGACGTTGCTGTAGAAGAGCGGCATCCGCCGACCAGCTGTGACCGCCAGGCGTGTGAGACTACTCCCGACGTCGGCGCTGGATGCTGACAGCGCGTGGATCGGGCGGGGACAGCGCCCGCGCCAGCACCGCGCTGCCAAACCGCGCGCGGAGGAGGGGGGATGAGAAGGAAGGTGCACACACACATATATATATATATATATATATATATACATCCATCCATACATACATACATACATACCTACCTACCTACCTACCTACCTACATACATACATACATACATACCTACCTACCTACCTACCTACATACATACATACCTACCGACCTACCTACCTACCTACCTACCTACATACATACATACATACACACACACATCCATCCATCCATCCATCCATCCATCCATCCATCCATCCATCCATACATACATACATACATACGTGCATGCATGCATGCATGCATGCATGCATGCATACATACATACATACATACATATATACATTAGAACCATCGCGCGCAGGCCCCAGGCCTTGACGAATTCACTGCTGCTCCACTGAAGTAGTGGACCACAGTCCACGCATGCCAGTCTGCATTCCGAAAGGCCTTCGAAGAAAACGGTTGTGTAGGGGGGCGGAGGCCGTGTGAATCGGGTTCCCAGGAGGCCTTCTGGGAGCATGGGTTTGGGGCGTCTTGGGGAGCCTATTGGGGCGTGCCGTCGTCGTCGTCGTCGTCGTCGTCGTCGTCGTCGTCGTCGTCGTCGTCGTCGTAATGTCGTCGTCGCCTATTGGGGCGCGCCGTCGTCGTCGTCGTCGTCGTCGTCGTCGTCGTCGTCGTCGTCGTCGTCGTCGTCGTCGTCGTCGTCGTCGTCGTCGTCGTCGTTTCGTCGTCGTCGTCGATTCAAGAGGGCACTTGGGGCAACTTTGTGCGAAACGATCTGCGGAGGGCCGCGAGAAGGCGATCAGTCATGTTCCCAATCAACTTCCCAGACAGCTGTCCTGTAGCATGATGGTACTTCGAAGCCTCCGGAGACTCGCGGGTCCGTGATGAACCATGTCCCCAGAAGACTTTCTGGGGACATGGCTTGTTGGGGAGTGTTGGGGGGTCTCTTGGGTGTTCTCTGGGGGCCCCTTGGGGGCCTCCGGGAACTCTCGGGCCCATGATGAACCATGTCCCTGGAAGGTGTTCTGGGGACATGATTTCTTGGGGTGTGTTAGGGGGCCTCTTGGGCGTTCACTGGGAGACCCTTGGGGGTCTCTTGGGGCTTCCTGGGGGCCTCTTAGGCGCCTCACGGGGCATCGTGGGAGCCTCTTGGTGGCCTCCGGGGGCCTACCGGCGGCCTCGAGGGCCAGAGACCTCGAAATATCAGTTGGCGGTCCCCCTCTGGGCCCTCTCTTGGGGAGATCTTGGGGCACAATTGAATTGTCTGGGGAGCCTCCTGGGCCCTTTTCGGGGCCTCATTGCCCGTCTTGGAGCGATCTGAAGGGCCTCCGAGCGAGGCCGTGAGGGAGCGCTGGGAAGCGGGGAAAGCGAGAACGCCTAAATCTTTCAAAAACCATCGGAAAATGAGTGAATCTTGCCTCCCAAGGCCCTCTTGGGGAGCCTCTTGAGTCCGTCCTGGAACGTGTTCGAGTCCTCGTCGGCCGTCTTGAGGGCAGCTTGGGCGTCTTCGGGGCCTCTTGGGACCGTCTAGGGTCCTCTCGGGATCTCCATTAGCCTGTCGTGGCCTGCTTCGGGGCGGGCCCGGGCCGCCTCGGGACCCCTCTGGGCCTTCCCTTGACGCGTTCTTGGGGCACACTTGGGTTGTCTGGGGAGCATCCTGGGCCGTCTTGGGGCCCTCGTCGGGGCCTCGTAGGCCTTCTTGGAGCGATCTGAAAGTCCTCCGAGGCCGTAAGTGAGCGCTGAAAGAGGGAAAAGCGAGGACGAATCCAAAACACTCGGAAAACGAGTGAATCTTGCCTTCCAGGGCCCTTGTGGGGAGCCTCTTGAGTTCGTCCTGGAGCGTGTTGGAGTCCTCTTCGTCTGTCTTGAGGGTATGTTGGGCGTCTTCGGGGCCTCGTGGGACCGTCTTGGGTCCTCTCGGGACCTCCTTAGCCTGTCGTGGCCTCCTTCGGGGCGGGCTCGGGCCGCCTCGGGAGCTCTGGACCCCCCCCCCGCGCTACCCCTGGTGGGCACCGATGGGGGGAACAGGCAGCGGCCCGCACCCCCCCCCCCTGGGCCTAATCCGAGATAGAGAATCATGTTCCCGGGAAGCCTTCTGGGAGCATGATTTGTTCGGCGCTCTAAGAGGGGGGCCTCTGGGGGCTTACCGAGGGGCGCCTTTTGGCCTTGTCGGCAAACCTATTGAAAACATGGTTGGGGCGGTGGGCGGAAACCCAAGGAATCATGTTCCCGGAAAGCTATCTGGGAAATACGATTCACCGAAGTGTCTTGGGGTCCCGCAAGGGGGGGCTTCACTGGGGGTCCCTTGGGGGCCTATTGGGGTTTCCGGGGGGCCTCTTAGGAGCCTCACAGAGCTTCTTGGGAGTCTCTTGATGGCCTCCGGGGGCGTCCGAAGAGCCTCTCAGGCCAGAGACCTCGAAATGTCCCTCTCTTCGGGCCCTCTTGGGTCACTCTTGGGGCTCTCTCGGGGCGCTCTCGAGGCCCTCTTGACTTATCTGGGGAGCCTCCTGGGCCGTCTCTGGGCTTTCTTGGGGGCCTCTTCGGCCGTCTTGGAGCGATCTGAAAGGCCTCTGGCGCGGTCCGGGACCGTGGGGAGGCGGAACATGGGAGAGCGCAAGAATGCTTCAAAAATTACTCCGACGGACGGACCCCACATGAGAATCCTCTGGGCGAATCTGGAAAAAGCCCTCCCTCACCGTCGTCCTCGTGGTTGGTGAAGCGTCCTGGCTGTCTCTTCGGCGTATATTTATTCTCGCCCTGGCGCGGGCCCTCCCCCCGCTCCCTACGTTGCCCCCGACCTCGTCATCATCATCATCATCATCATCATCATCATCATCATCATCATCATCATCATCATCATCATCATCATCATCATCATCATCATCATCATCATCATCATCATCATCATCATCATCATCATCATCATCATCATCATCATCATCATCGGGTGCGTCCCAGTGGATACGTGCCGAACACGACCCAGAGGAAACGCACAGGGTGCGTCCCAGTGGATACGTGCGGGGGCACGACCCAGAAGAAGCGCACAGGGGTGCGTCCCAGTGGAGACGTGCCGGGAGTAACGCCCTGGGAACACGACGAACACAAAGTGGCCTACAGTTGGCTCTGGACATTCAGAATGTGGCCCAGGAGTGGTGTTCTGGAAACACAAAGAACACGAAGTGGCCTACAGTTGGCTCCGGGCATTCAAAACGTGGCCCCGGAATGGTGTTCTCGGAGCACGAAGAACACGAAGCGGCCTACAGTTGGCTCTGGGCATTCCAAATGTGGCCTGGCAATGGCGTTCTGGCAGCGCGAGAGCCCAAAAAAGGCGACAGTTACAGGAATTGGATGACCCGCTCGGATTGATCCGCGGGCCCCATAGGGAGGGGGCTCCCGCTTGAGATTTCCTCGGGTTTGTAACATGATCCGCCTGGGAATGGCGTTCTGGCAGCGCGAGAGCCCAAAAGTGGCGACAGTTACAGGAATTGGATGACCCGTTCGGATGAGTAACATGATCCGCGGGCTCCATAGGGAAGGGGCTCCCGCTTGAGACTTCCTCGGATTAGTAACATGATCCGCCTGGGAATGGCGTTCTGGCAGCGCGAGAGCCCAAAAGTGGCGACAGTTACAGGAATTGGATGACCCGCTCGGATTAATAACATGATCCGCGGGCCCCATAGGAAGGGGGCTCCCGCTTGAGACTTCCTCGGATTAGTAACATGATCCGAGGGCCCCACAGGGAGGGGGCTCCCGCTTGAGACTTCCTCGCAATTCACTCACAGACGAGGCCCAAGGCGAGTGAGTGAGTGAGTGAGTGAGTGACTAACTGACTGACTGACCGGTGATGATGATGATGATCATTACACTCTCTCACGCGCACACTCATCATCATCATCATATGTGAGTTCATGAGCATGTAAGTGAGTGAGTGCTGATGAGTCAGCGAGTGAGTGAGTGAGTGAGTGAGTGAGTGAGCTAGTGAGTGAGTGAGTCAGCGCACGAAGACAGAAGAGGAGAGGGGGTGAGGTGAGGAGGTTCCTGCGCGGGGTGTCCAGAGAAAACAAGAACCCCACTTTGGATGTGGGGAATAATTGGAAAATTTATGATTTTCGGCTTCTGGGGCCCTGTGGAAGGGCCTCTCTGGAGGCGCTCCTGGGGCGTTTGGGCGGCGTCGTCGGCCGTCCTGAGGCCATCTTCGGCGTGTCCGGGGCCTCTGGGGGCTGTCTTTGGGCGTCCTGGGAACCCAGGAATCATGTTCCCGGAGAGGCTTCCGGGAACATGCTTTCGAACGAGGCCATCTTGGGCCTCCCTGAGGCCGTCTTGGGGGCCTCCTGTGCTGGCTTTGGGGCCTCTCGGGCCGTCTCGGAGGGTTCCATGAGCCCCACAGGACAACCCTTTTGGGCCGTCTGGGGCCCTCTTGGGTCTCTTTTTGGGCTGTCTTGGGGCTCCTCGGGGGCGTCTGGGGCACTGCGAAGACGAAGCAAAGGGAGTATGCTGAATATGTACGTTTTACTACGGGGACGTGCTGATTTTTGCCTCTTGAAGGCCCTCTTGGGTACCTCTTCGGCCATCTTGAAGCCATCTCGGGCCCTCTTGGGCCTCGCTGAGTCTGTCCTGGGGCCCTCTATAGGGGTCGAAGGGGCCCTGGGAGCCCGGAAATAATGTTCCCGGAGAGGCTTCCGGGAACATGATTTCGAACGGGGCCCTCTTGGGCCTCCCTGAGGCCGTCTTGGGGGCCTCCTGGGCAGGCTTCGGGGCCTCTTGGGCCGTGTTGGGGGGTTCCGTCCCACAGGCCGACCCTTTTGGGCCGTCTGGGGCCCTCTTGGGTCTCTCTTGGGCTGTCTTGGGGCGCCGCGGGCGCGTCTGGGGCACTGTGAAGAC